CTCTCAGAAGGTATAGGAAGGAACTATTTCCTCTGATCCATTTCAGAGACAAGAAGTTCAGGGATGGGGCCACAAAGCCTAGTGGGCTTTGGCCACAGGATAGTTCTTATAATGCTTAACTAAAATTTGTCTTAGGCTTCCTTGGCAAACTATCCAGGAGGTGGACACATACCAGAGATCTTGCACACACCTGCCTTTATTCTGATCTGAATTCAGTCACCTAGTAATAATGAGAATTTTCCATTAGAATGACTTATTTTAATCCCCAAATTCTAACTTTAAGCCTTGCTAGGCTAAGCAAAAAAAGCCAGACACAAAAGAGTACGTGCTGTGTTTCCATTAATATGAAGTTCTAAAACAGGCCAAACTAATCTTTGATGCTAGAAATCAGGACTGTAGTTGCCTCAAGAAGGGCAGGAATTGAGTTAGAAGGGTCACCAGGGAACTTTCTGGAGTAATGGAAATATTCTATAGCTTGAGGGATTACACATTTGTCAAAACTCACCAAACTGCACTTAAGATCTGCTCATTTCACTGTAAATACCACCTCGATAATAAAAAGTGAATATATGAATGTAGGCTCTTTTGTCTCAAGTGGAATGTAATTATAAAAATTATGTGCATTTTTCCTTGGAAAGATCTGTCAGAAATCTAGATTCATGTTTTTATATAGTCTTCAGTAGCAAACAGGAGTGTGGATGGGATAGAAGACATATGTTCCTCAGGAATTCTCCTGCATTTCTGTAGCAATCCATAAAAATTGCAGTTCTCACTGGGAAGGGAGGGACAGTGGAAATTAACACTTTTTAATGGGATATATTGGAGTTACCAGGCTGTTTTTCTAGTGTAGATATGGGCTATCTCCCTACTTCACCCCCAAAGATTCTCTTATGATGCTCCCCCTTTAATAACCATTCCCGAGTGCGCCACTCTTATTAATGGGAATGTTGCACCCCTCACGGATGTTTTGTAAAAGTCCTTGATTCTATGAGGTTGGGTCATTCAGGCAGACCAACCTCTGCCTCACGTGCTTACTGCCATCTACCAACTTCTCAGGCACTCCTCTTCGTTAATTGACAACAATAGGACCTGCACCTTTCTCTCTACCCCAGTTACTATCATAATTCTGGATGATATCAAGGTTCATGTAAATGGGCCATCCAGAAACACAGACTTGGACCTCCATAATTCCAGTAGCCGTCACCTCTACGCTACATGGCTAAGTCATGCTTGGAATCTTACTATCATCTGGAGCTGTACCAGATCAGAAATTCTGAATTCCATTATTCCACTATGGGCCTGAACATTCCATCCTTCTACTTCTCTTGTGCCTTCATTCCCATTAAACCTACTTTTTGACCGCATAGACCCCCAGTTCTTTAACCCCACAATGTTTTCCCAGTCTACGAGGAACTTCTAAAGCTTCCTTGCCAACCTAATCTGTAATAACGTGATTGGTTGTCTCAATTATTCTTTGCCAGTATCTTTGACACATTTTGTTCATATACTTTCCCTGCTATGGCAACAGTACAGTAAATCTCCATCCCAAGATCAATGCAACATTACTGCTTATATATCTCCTTATTCTTGTGTGCACATGTCCCTTAGCAACACCTATTGGTCAGACTGCTTTTGGTCAGACTGCTCTTGCTTTTGGTCAGACTGCTCTCCAATCTCCTCAACAGTTATTCCAAACATCTGCCATTCTCCTCAAAACCCTCAGCAGATCGCCTAGGCTCCTATGTCACAGAGAAATTGAAATCATCAAGCTTACTCTCCATTTGCTTCTTGCTTTTAGTCAGCAGTTTTCATGTATTTTCTAGCTCACATTCTCATTCATATCTATATCCTTGGCTCCTTTCCCAAAGTCTAAGAACATAAGGTAAACCTTAAGGTATCAAAAAGTCAGTGCCTAAACTTAACTCACCCCCTTCTGACTCCTTTGGCACTTTATCAATCATCTTCTTTTTGTTCAAATATCAATCTCTTTCTTCTCACTTGTTCCTTGTCTTCAGCCTATAAACATGCTCATGTCAGGCCCATAATAAAAACAAGTCATCTGAACCCCAGGATTTGGTCTAGCTACTGTTTATCTTATCATCACCCTCTTATTAAGATTGTATTTTCTTAGTATAACAATGGCTCTAATTGGTAAATCTTGTGGGTATTTTAAACCCCAATTTAAATGGACCATAGAGAAACATTAACTGACCATCCTAAAATAAACACTCCAAAATCATAAGAACTAATAAACAAGGTTAGCAAGGTTACAGGACACAAGGTCAACATACAAAAATCAACTAATTTAGAGATATCACCTTATACCTGTCACAATGGCTAAAATCAAAAGACAAGAAATAAGTGCTGGTGAGGATGTGGAGAAAAAGGAACACTTGTGCACTGTTGGTAGGAGTGTAAATTGGTACAGCCACTGTGGAAAACAGTGTGGATGTTCCTCAAATAATTTAAAAAAAAAAAACCATATGATCCAATTACAGAATACTTACCCAAAGAAAATGAAAACACTAATTTGAAAAGATATATGCACCCCTATTTTATTGTAGCATTATTTACAATAGCCAGGATACGGAAGCAACCTACGTGTCCATCGATAGACAAACAGATAAGACGTGGTGCACACACACGCACACACACATATACATATATACACATATACAATGGACTATTACACAGCCATAAAAAAGGATGATATCTTGCCATTTGAGACAACATAGATTGACCTGGAGGATATTATGCTAAGTGAAATAAGTCAGACAAAGACAAGTACCATATTATTTCACTCATATGTGGAATCTAAAAAACAAAACAAATGAATAAACAAAAAGGCAGAATCAGACCTATGAATACAGAGAACGGGTGGTCCCCAGAGAGAAGGAGGGGTGGGAGGAGGATGCGCAAAACGGACGAGGGGACTGGGAAATACTGACTTCCAGTTATGGAATCAATAAGTCACGGAAATAAAAGGCACAGCACAGGAAATACAGGCAGTGATATTATAACAGCATTGTACGGTGACAGATGGTAGCTACACTTGTGGTGAGCATAGCATAATGTTTAGAGATGTTGAGTCACTATGTTGCACACCTGAAACTAATGTAACATTGTGACTCAACTATACTCAAATAAAACAATTGAAATAAAAAATAATTATTTTATTTCTATACAGGAGCAATGCACAATCCAAAAATGAGATTTAGAAAACAGTCCCACTTAGAGTACGAATATTTAGGAATAAATTTAACAAACGAAGTATAATATTTGTACACTTAAAATTATAAAACATCGTTGAAAGACGTTAAAGAAGACTTAAGTAAATGGAAAGACATCTGATATTTAAGAATTGGAAGACAGTATTAATTTTTTTAAACATTTTATTTATTTATTTGACAGACAGCGCGAGAGGGAACACAAGCAGGGGGAGTGGGAGAGGGAGAAGCAGGCTTCCCGCGGAGCAGGGACCCCCTCCCCCGACGCGGGGCTCGATCCCAGGACCCGGGGATCATGACTTGAGCCAAAGGCAGACGCTAACGACTGAGCCACCCAGGTGCCCCAGAAGACAGTATTATTAAGATAGCAAAACTCCCCAAATTTATCTAAAGATTCAATGCAGTCCATTTCAAAACCCCAGCTGGCTTCTTTCAAAAAATGACAAGATGACCCTAAAATTTATATGGAAATGCAAGGAAAGCAGAATAAACAAACTAAACTTAAGAAAGAATAGTGGATTTGAAGGACTTACATTTCCCAATTTCAAAACTTACTACAAAGCTACTATAAACAAAACAGTGTTGTACTGGCATAAGAGCAGACATATGGATAAAGAGTAGAATTGAAAGTCCAGAAATAAACTCACATTTATGGTCAAATGACTTTTGACAAGGATGCCAAAAGATTCAATGGGAAAGAATAGTCTTTTCAATAAATGGTGCTGGTATAACTGCATATGCAAATGCAAAAAAAATGAAGTTGAAACTTCAGGTTTCAGCCCTACTTACAGACAACTTGGAAGTCATCAGTCCCAATCTTATAGGAAAAAACTGAACAAACTAAAAATTAATGACCTTTCTTGGACTCATAAGGGAGCTGAGGTTAGGGGGCTAGCCACCCCAGAATCTGGACAAAGAATGGAATCCAGGGACACCTCCGTGGCTCAGTCAGTTAAGTATCCCACTCTTGATCTCAGCTCAGGTCTTGATCTCAGGGTCATAGGTTCAAGCCCTGGGTTGGGCTCCATGCTCAGCATGGAGCCTACTTAAAAAAATAATAATAATAAAATAATGGAATCCAGAGAGTCACTGAGATCTGCTTACCTGGAGCACTGAACCCATGCACTGATAGGAACACTTTGTGGTAATTTCAACAAATTGCTGGAGCTGAGTGTGGACTACTATGAGAGAAAGACACTCCTGGAGTCTGTGCTCTTAGGGGGTCTCTCTTGCTTTCATGGGCTTTACTTCTCAGAACCCCACCAGGTGAAGAGCCAAGAAAGGTAACCTCATAGCTCTGACATGTGATGAAGAAATTTTTTTTTTTTTTAATAAAGCCAGAATTTCTTCCATAACAAAGTCCTACTGTCCAGGGGATTCTTGCTCCCTCTACCTTTCCTGTCTTACTTAAAGGGTGGGGGGAGTCTAAGAAACACCTGTGAGGGTCACATCCCAGGGACCCAGGCACACTAAAACACTGAGGTTTAACCATACAATCACAGAACGCTACCCCTTTCCAAAACCTCACCACCACAAACACAGACTCTAAGGAAGAGGAATCCCAGGACAACAGGGGAGACAAAAACAAAGACACTACAGAAATTTGAAGCCTCTGGCACCTACAGCTACAGCAAACATTAAACACAGACCAACTCATAGTAGACCTACTTGGCTTCATTTATTTTAGTCATTCATAAATTTACTCACCCTATCATAAACCCTTTTATTAAACATGTGATTGGTTACATGGCAAAACATGCCTAACCTCTCTAATACTTTTCACATTATATAAATAACTGTATTATCATATCATTTTAATCTCTGCCTACCTTATTGCCCCAATTTTAGTTGAAGTCCGTTAAGGACAACATCTGTGTTTTAACTTTTCTGTACCTTCTATGGGTAGGCTAAACTCAGTGCTGAGTAAGTGCATGGATAAATGAATGAATGAATCAGCATAAGACTGTCTTTGGAGTGACAAGGGAGTCCTTGGAGGGAGGTACTGCAGTTCTGATTATTATTGCTCTGATAGAACTTTCTTGGTCCAGGACATCCACCTCCAGGGAAGGAGGGTGGTACAGTGGGGAATGGTCTAGAGTCTGGAAGTTGGTTTCTAGACCTGAATGTGCCATTAGGTGGCTATGTGGCCTTGGAGAGCTCAACTCTGGGCTTTTTTGCAGATCTGTAAAATAAACATTCCTTTCAGTTCTATCATTCCAAGATTCTTGAAGCCACTGGTCCTTATTAAAATGAAAAAAAATACTAAAATAAACTCTGAATATAGAAAATGAATATCTCTTCTTATATCCTCTAATAGCTAGGACTTATTAAATGCCTGCTATACTCACACACTGTTTTAACCGCATCACCTGTATTAACTTATTTATTCCTATGAGATAAAACTATTTTATCCCTCTTTCACATGTGAGGCACAGAAAGGTTATGTGACTTACATAGCTTGTAGCAGAATTAACTGCAGATCCAGGCAGTCTGGCGCCAGTAGTTGGGCTCTTGATCCTAATGTTTTTCCCATGCCCAAGGGTAGCACCAGTCTTCTGCCCTTGGAACCAATGGCCTCTTCCATTGCCATATAGTTCATTTGAAAGACTAAACTCTTGCCTTTATGGAAAGTGATCATTCAGAATGATGCTGTGAGGGAACACCATTCCCAGGAGAGGAAAGACATATTTACTAATGCCCTCATTTGGGCCAAGGGCCTTTGTTTTATTCAATATTACTGGTCCTGGATTGGGAAATCAACTTGTGGAGAGGCTTTTGACCTGACTTTTGGACAGAATGCAGTTCTTTTCCCAAAACCATATTAAACACGAGGTTGAAAGGTGAGTCCTTTCATTGCAACATCACCTGCCTTCCTCCTGCTGAGAGGGTTCTGTTTGATTCTATCAGTTCTTCCGCAGGAACTGGACTTAGGAAGCTAGAATGACACCGCTTCCTCCCATCCCTCGGATCAGCTCAGAAGTGTATCAGCTACAAGAGACTTACTGAGATGCTTAAACAGCCTTTTTAAATGGGGTCTGGAAGAATAAGTAAACAGGAACTTTCCATCATATGAAACATGTACTTTGAATCCAACAAAGTATACAGAGTAACAGGTCAGATAAAGGTAACTCTAGAACTAACAAAGATTGAGGTCAACATGCAGTGTTGCTGGGCCTTCTTCCTGTTATCCCAACCACATACTCCCCCTCATTCCTGTTTCCAGTCCTTCCCTTTTCTCCCCTCAATTCATCTCCCCACCTGTCTTTTCCTTTCCAAGTACGCAGAGGACTGCATTATTGTCACATTTCCCCCTCCTAGGGCATTGAGGAAAAGAGCCTCATATAGGTGCGTACAAAAAACCCTGAATATCTACATATGGATAGCATATACTTACACTTTGAGTTTCTTCATCCATATAATCATTCATGCATGCATTCAACAGATGATGATTCAGTACCTGCTCAGTCTTAACTCTCTTATCCTACCTCCTCATACACATGTATATATACCTTAGGACAGATGTATGTGTTTCCCCAAGGACATTGGATTCAGCTGGAGAGGCCCAAGGTAGCAGAAATTGGGGCATATTCTCAAGAGTTTACCACTGATCATAGATTCAGGGTTTGGTGGAAGCCAGGTCTACAAATTACAGCCTTGAAAAAAACAGCTGTTTGGGAAAACTAGCAGAAGCAAAGATCTTCCTGTCTGGTGCTTTTAATGTCTTTCTGGAACTTTCTTTTGGAGCTCTGGGAAAATCTCAAGTACAGGGAAGAACCAAACCGTGTCCCTCTGTCAGTACCTTTTATCTGTTCACTGAAGAAGCCCTACAAGCTTGGGAAACTTTTCCAGTGCCACCCCATCTACCAATGGCTCATAGACTATCATAGGCATGAGATTATACATGAAGTATAATCATACCTTATAAAAGATACAGCTTTTGACTGACCTTATTATACTCTTCCTTTTATCAGGTATTCATGGAGCACCTTCTGAGCATCCAGCCTGATGTTAGATGCATTCCTGGTCCATTGGGCACTTACAACTAAGTTGGAAAGGCTAGACAGAACACAAATCAGATAATAGACACAGGTGATAAAGTGGAAACAGCCCTTGATTTGGAATCTTAAGTCTGGATATGGATTTTAACTTCACCATTTGTTAGCTGTGAAATACACTTAAACCTACTCCAGAACTGTTAGAAGTCTTTTCTTTGGATGTTATATAAACTATGTATGAAGAGAGAATATTTTTATGGTTTTTAGAGAAGAATGCAAAGCAGCGTAGCACTCCTTGTCAAGCTTACTACAATCCCACGAGGTAAGCCAGTGTTTTGCAAACAAAAAGTAACCACCCATTGGTGGATCATGAAATCAATTCAGTGGGTGGTGACCAGCATTTTTTTTTAATGAAATGGAACAGAACAGAAAATATCAGAGTGTACCACATGATGTAGTAAGGGTAAGTTTTGTTTCAGGTCACTTTTGTCTCTATTACATATATTTGTGTTTACTGTATTGTGATGAGAAAAGAATTTCTTAGTATGGGTCACTTTCAAAAAGTTTGCAAAATGCTGAGAAGACTGCATGCCCTCTCCACGCCAATTTTCATAAAATTATTTGGATTCAGCCTTGTTACCTCTCTAATAACCAATAGTTGGATTTCTAACTCACTCAATCCAGTCATTCTTGATTTCTGTACTTGCTCAGGCCTGTGGAGCAGTACCTATAGACATCCTGTGTTCAAGGATCTAACCAGGGAAGGAGAATGACCAGAAACAACTGGAGACTATTGAGAATATTTAAATGCCACATGGGTAACAATTCCTCTTCAGTAACAGGAGGTCACAAAAGAGGAGTGGAGCTATTAGGGGAGATTTCTAAGAGGTCCACTGAAAGCAAACCCTAGAGAAAGAATAAGATTTGGCTCACAGAACAACAAAAGAAAAGGAGCAACAAAAGAGTAGAGGACAGAGCCTGAGACAAGTCGGGGAGAGCACAGTCTGTCTAAACAGTCTGCCTGAGCTACCTTGTAGAGCCATTCTCCCCCTCTTGGTCTTTGTTTGCCTGGTTGACCCCAACTACCAGCTCTCAACAAGCATGGCCTGGATCTTATCTCCCTTGGATCATCGTCTCTCAGCTCCAAACCTGGCCAGTCACTACACAGAGTAACTATAAGCCAGGACAGAGTAAGAAACAGGCAGTACAACAATCTATAGTTGCAGACTTGCCACATTTGTGTTGGTGATGTACTGTGATTGAACCTTTGCCACTAGGGCATTCTCATAGAAACCTGATCTCTGCACTGATGAGCTATCAGTGACACCTCCTGCCTTCATGGCTTGGTGTGGCTCTGCTATTAAGGACTGTCAAGGCATTGGGGGGTCTCTAGGACAATGCTAAAGGCTCTGGATCAGAAAAAGTCATGTCACAGGTCCTTTCCTTTTCTAAAGGAAAGTCTAGCCTCAAAATATGTCTCAAAGTACGGTTTGAGTCCATAGCTTTGGGTCTCTGTCCCCCTATCTCTCTCTCTCTCTCTCTCTCTGTCTCTCACACACACACACACACACACACACACACACGAAGCAGTCATAATCCTCTCCTCACCCTGAAAATGACCTGATTCTAAAGCTGGAGCATGGAATAAATTTGAAGCCATTTCCTGTATTCTTTCTACAGCACAAATTCCCTGTCAAGAGGATTGGTTCTGGACCTGTGCCTCAGTGCACTGCTTCTCTGACTCATTTCAGAGATTTCCTGGTGACACAGGAACAGTTAACTGTACTATTTATTGGAGGACAATGATATTCTAATAATCTAACATCATCGGCAAAGAGCCAAAAATAGGATCAGCCTAATAGCAGTGACCTTACTCATGACTTGCCCAGTTGGTCAGGTTGGGGGTGGTTTGCGTTTGATTTTCACCCACACCGGCACTCACACTGCTACCAGCCTTCCCAGTCTTCTTGGAATCCTCCTCTCCCGAACAGACAGACAAGAGAGAGTGGTGGGAGAGCACTAGACCTCAGACAGGAGAGCACCGAGTTTCCAGGAGGTTTTCTACTGGTGCTCTGGAGCTCCCTGTGGATGAGAGCACCAACTCCAACCCCTAGTAAGTTATTTATTCCCAAAGTATCTGAAAATCTACTCCAGGCCAGTCACTGCACTAGAAAGTTTAAAGGTACAGAGATGAATATGAACCTGATCCTCTAGTTGTCATGGTAAGTATCTTAACTAAGGAGTTGTTGGGGGTCTGTAGATGGGTTTCAGGGGTTTCAGTTATGTGCAAAATTTGCTGCACATATCTAGGTTTTTACAGTAAGAAGATACTAGCTCTTAACAGCAAGGGGCTCTGTGTCCCCCCAGATTTTTTAAATGATTAGTTTTTTCAAAATTAGTTGTTACATATTCTTATATTAATAGCAGTAGTCCTGTAACCCAGGACAAAAAGCAGGGGAGGGTGCTTTTGAGTAACAGGAGTTGGCTTCTATCTGGTTTACTGTTCCAGCATCTACTTAAGTTAGTCAGTTATCAGACTCTAGTGATAAGGTATCACTGCCTCCATGGAAATATGTATCCTGTGGAAGATTAATTAGAAGTGCTTTGACCAAACCTAAGGGCTGACCCTTATTTTCTGTAGAAAATATCATATGTCACTAGTCCCTGTGACATTTATGCAAGCATTCCTGTCTGTCTCCTACTGGAGCAAGCATGTTCAAAACAAGTAAACTGAAGGCAATCAATTTGTTGTGCAATGTAGCCAATCCCACTATTTCTGTCATCATTGTGCAGAGTATGGACTGCCCCATGGTGGACTCTGTCACTAAGATTGCTGTTGTTGAAAATATGGAGACAAAGGACTAGTTGGGCTGTGTCATATCCAGCCGGGCCATGACGTTTCTTTTTGAGTCCACTTCTTCCAATTCAGAGTCCCATTTGACTGTTATTTGACGGCATTGTGTATATACAATCTGATTTTTAAAAATTTGAATCTAAGCAAATCTAAAATTTATTCTTTGGAAGTGGATACTTCTTTTTGCTTTTGTTGTGGGAGAGGCATTTTTTCCTTTATTTTTTTTCTTCATTGCTGAGGATCTGAGGGGAAAGTTTACCTGTAGGAAATGTCCTTTAAATTACTAAAGAACCAAAAAAAAAAATTTACTAAAGAACTTTTACAAAATTGTATAAGCTAAATCCAGGTGTTTTAATCAGAAGATTAACTGTGGCCTAATTTCACAGCTGTAACTTTCTTGAGTTCAAAGAGGTTAATTCCATACCTAAATTGGGATGCTTCTTTCTCTTTGTAGGAAAATACCTAATTATTTAGAGTAATAAGTTTCTTACAGATAATTAATACTAGCAAAATAATTCATTCTCTTTTTAAAGCATTGGTCTGACAATAAGTGAAAAATTTAGGCTGAAAAAAACATAAGTTGCCCTCTATTTTTTCCAATATTCTAAATCAATAACTATCTCTACCATAACTGGGTCATTACTGATAGAATAATAAAGAGTAGGAAAAGTTAACAGTTAACTACACTATGACACTTCAGTTATATAAAATTGATTTTGGAGAGCTAGATAAAAGTTGTATAAAATAAGTTCTGGCTGGCTGCTAAAATAATAGAAAATAATATCAGGCAGCTTTATAACCAGTGAAAATCTAACATGATAATGTAAAAATATCCACTTAGTTTATGATGCTGCATCTCAAATAT